GTCCAGAGGTCCAGGAGCATCTATGGAGAAATTGAGAACTCATCCAAGTGAAAAACACAAGATGCAGATTCGTGTTCAGAGTGGGATCGCATTTTCTGTTTTAAAAACAGTGTATATCCTCCAACGTGTGCATTTATTTCTTACATATGGACAAAAATATTAGTAGGGTAGACCCTAAGTTATTAACAATGACTCCCTGAGAGAAGAAGGAGGCAGAACTGGAGAGAGAAAAAGGAAGATGTCTAGTTGTGTGTGCCTAATTAATTAAAATTAGATACTATTAAAATTAGATACTATTAAAAATTCAGTTTCTGAATTCTGCCAGCTCCATTTCCAGTAGCTATCACACCTAACAACACAGCTATGGAACTTACATCACTACAGACAGATCTGCTGGACAGCTCTGGTCTGAAACACAACAAGGAAACCTGACAGAAACTTTAAAAGGTAAGACAATGAAGAAAATCTACCCCTCCACCACTCTTGAAACTGAAAATACAACAAAAAGCAGAAATTATACACAAAGAACCTCAAGAAGCATTGCGTCTTCGGGTGATGTCTATCTGGACTAGGTTAGCAATCCTATATGCTATTTGGATACTGAGGGGAACCTGGCAGTAAGCACTTTATAACCATCTACTGAAAAACATGCAGTGACATTTCTCATCAGAAAAGATGATTTCAATGACCTCTCCTTGAAAACAATGGTATTCATGGGCTTAAAAAGTAATAAAATTGAGGAAGTTTTATTTTATAATTCAGATATATGAACCTAGATAGGATTTTATCTGAATTGGTTCATAATTTTAAAAATTACTAAAAACTTGTCATCGCAGCCCCATCCGAACGCCCTGGGGGTGGGAGGTGGGGGCTGTAGAGGCCATATAGGAGGCAACTGTTGTTTCTCTCACATCAATGTTTTTCTTTCCCTCTCTCTCTTCCCCTTTCTCTCCCCCCGCACCCTCATAAACTCAATGTTTAAAAAAAATATATTTTAAGCCTTGTAATCACAGACTCTAGCCCTAAATAGGTCCAAACAAATGAAATGAGCCTGCTTTAACAACTGCATTAATAAAAACTGCCTATACTTTTATACATTTTAATGGATGCATTAAATTCATTAAATTTTTCACTTTAGAAATTCATTTATAAAACTACCAATTTGAGTTGATGTGTGTCCCCAAAATTCCTATCCATTTGAGAAATGTGACTTTATTTGAAAACAGGGTCTTTGCAGATATGATCAAGTTAAGATAAGGTCATACTGGTACAGGATGGGCAGTGCCCTTACAAGAAGAGGAAATTTGCCCTAGCCTGTTTGGGTCAGTGGATAGAGCTTTGGCCTGTGGATTGAAGGGTTGCAGGTTCAATTCCAGTCAAGGGCATATGCCTGGGTTGTGAGCTCGATCCCCAGTAGGGGGCATGAAGGAAGCAGCCGATCAATGAGTCTCTCTCATCATTGATGTTTCTATCTCTCTCTCCCTCTCCCTTCCTCTCTGAAATCAATAAAAATATACTTGAAAAAAAGAAGAAGAGGAGGAAATTTAGACCCAGAGAGACACACAGACATCCAGGGACAAGGACATGTGACAATATAAATAGAGACAGATACTGGAGTGATGCAGCTGCAAGTCAAGAAACACCAAGGATTGCCAGCAACTGGCAGAAGCTGGGAGATAGGCTCAGGACAGATTTTCCCTCAGAGCCTCCAAAGAAAGCAACCTTGCCCACACCTGGATTCCTGGTGTTTAGACTCCAGACCTGTGAGACAATGAATTTCTGTTGTTTTAAGCCATCCAATTTCTGGTACTCTGTCCCAATGCCCTACAAAACTAATATGATTCCCCTCTTCCTCCATTTAACAGGCAGGCCCATCACCATGTCTGATGTTCCATCACAGATTCATTCGTTCTGCCTTTCCTATGCAAGTGCAATTGGAGATGAAGAAAACCTAGTTCCTGATACCAGAACAGATCCTTCTCCCTGGGACAAGCTGAGGATATTCCATCTCACACGCAAGAGATTATCCAAGAAAATCATTTAGTAGAGGAGGAAAATATGAAGAATAAAAGCTTGCCTTAATACTCACAGTAGCACAGTTTTAGAAATCAAAGGACTGCAATATGGAGGTAATCCATCTTTATGTGTGCTCACATACCTACCAGTAGCATGTGCTCTGGGTCTGAAGTCAACCCCTCACTCCAAATGCCCACCCCCTCCCCCATTTATCTTTAGTGACCAGCACCCCTGTCACTGCATGTGCCCTTGACTGGAATCAAACCCGGGACCCTTCAGTCCACAGGCCAACGCTCTATCCACTGAGTCAAACCAGCTAGGGTCAAAACAAGTTTTAGCACATTAATGACTTAAGACAAACATGAAGCTAGTCAACTCTACTAAAGAGGCTTTAATATATTGGTATTTATATACACACACATACCCATAGATATATGTTACCATCTTTGATTCCACAAAACAGGTTCATTTCCCCAACCGAGCACAACCCTATAATAATTAATTCCTTGCTGCTATGTATACTGCTCACACTGAGTTCAAATATGCTAATTTAATAATCCCAATCATATAAATTCAGATGCCCACAGAAATAAGGACAGGAAATTTTTCTGGAAATGTTATTAATAGTTGTAATGGTAGGACAGTGTTATATGCTAAATTGTGTCCCCCCAAAATTCATGTTGAAGCCTTCAACCCCACCTCCCCCCCTGCCCAGTATTTGGAGATAGGCCTTTAAAAAAAGTAGTTGAGTTAATAGTCAGGTTGTTAGGGTAGGCCCTAATCCAAGATGACTGCTATCCTTAGAAGTAGAGATTAACCCTAGCCGGTTTGGCTCAGTGGATGGAGCGTCCGCCTGCGGACTGAAGGGTCCCGGGTTCGATTCCGGTCGAGGGCACGTACCTGGGTTGTGGGCACATCCCCAGTGGGGGGTGTGTAGGAGGCAGCTGATCGATGTTTCTCTCTCATTGATGTTTCTGACTCTCTATCCCTCTCCCTTTCTCTCTGTAGAAAATCAATAAAATATATTTTAAAAAAAAAAAGGGGGGGGGAGTAGAGATTAGACAACACGGAAGGATGACCAGGAGAGGTCACAGAAAGAAGGTGGTGTTTGTAAGCCAAGGAGAGAAGCCAAAGAAACTGAACCTGCCAACACCTTGATCTTGGACTATCAGGCTCCAGAACTGTAAGAAGGTTTTTGTTGCTTAAGCTGCCCAGTCTATGTTACTTTGCTATGACTCCCAAACTGACTTTTTAAAAAATATATTTTTATTGATTTCAGAGAGAAAGGGAGATGGAGAGACAGAAACATCAACGATGAGAGAGAATCACTGATCAGCTGCCTCCTATATGGCCCCTACTGGGAATCGAGCCCACAACCTGGGCAAGTGCTCTGATGGGAAATGAAACCATGACCTCCTGGTTCAAGGGGGACACTCAACCACCACTGAGGCACACCAGGGCTGACTTTTTTTTTTTTAATGTTTTTATTGATTTTAGAAAGAGAGGAATGGAGAGGGATAGAGAGATAGAAACATTGCTGAGAGAAAAACATCAACAGGCTGCCTCCTGCACACCCCCCTAGTGGGGATCGAGCCCACAATCTATGCATGTACCCTGACCAGGAATCAAACCAGCAACCATTTGGTGCACAGGATGACACCCAACCAACTGAGCCACACCAGCCAGGGCCATGGAATATCTTTTAAATCAGCAGAGGTTGTGTAAACAATGGGATTATGGACATTTTCATTTTCCTCTTTATGTTAGTCTGTATTTAAAAACCTTAAAAAGTGCTATTAAACTAATGATATAATTGAATATCCTAGACATCAGAGTTTATAATACTCTGGCCACACTTCACCTTACTATTTCTAATTTGAAACAAAATAATATAATGAGATAAAATAAGATTTTTTTTTTTTTTTTTTCACCAGCTCCATAGAGGAGCTGGTGGAGGCAGGCTCCGGGGAAGAGCACTGCTATTAAACACTTCTCTGGAGCCTGGGAGTGTGGCTCAGTGATTGAGTGTCCACCTTGAACCAGGAGGTCACGGTTCAATTCCCGGTCAGGGCACATGCCTGGTTCATGGGCTCAATCCCCAGTGTGGGATGTGCAAGAGGCAGCCAATCAATGAAGTCTCTCTCATCACTGATATTTCTCTCTCTCTCTCTCCCTCCCTCTCCCTTCCTCTCTGAAATCAATAAAATATATTTTTTTTTAAAAAACTCCTTAAAACACACACACACAACACGCACAAAACACTTCTCTGGAGACTGGAGAACTAACCTACAAAGTACAGAACCTTCTGGTATTAGAGTGAAAAGTCATCATAGCAACTAGGGGGCACATATCAGACCCTATGAGTTAGGCATCTTACATATACTATCACTTTAATTCTCATCACAAACTAGCCCAGCAAAGGCTGACTCCATCTTTCACAGAAGGAAACTCAGGCTAAGGTCACACACTTAGGAAATGGAAGTGCTTATACCAAGAGCCCTGAATGCTTAGCAAATATCTATTAAACATCCGTTATATGCATGTTGCTACATGTGTGACAGAACCATGACTCTACTAGCCTCTTCTCACAGACACAGATCTTTCTCTTTCACCCTCATTGCGTACATGTTTTCCTACCTCTGTAAGTAATTTTAGAGCTCCTCAAAAGAGCTATAGAATGAAGAGGAAGATAAAGAGATCTGTGTCCAAGACCTGGAAAATTCTGGCTTTTTCACTTACATAAGTTAACAAATAAAAGGACTGTAGATATGGGGGGGAGGGCTGGATTAAGTTATATGAGTGAAATTGCTAGGAAGAGTGCCTGGCACATAGTGGATACTAAATAAATGTTAATGAAACATGAATATTCATTTACAAACCTTTATAGAGTTAAATAGACCTAGAAGTTTTAAACTTTTTTAGAAATTGGTTAGATTAACTGAACAGCTTTCCATGGGAGGACCACTTCATCCGCCGTCAATCAGTGATATCTGGGAAATCTAAAGCCAACATCAAAACGCTGACACTAGTCAGAGGAACTCAGCATTTACTGCTGCAGATTGACTCCCTCTAGAGTCCCACAAGCCAGATTAGAAAGGGACACCTATCTTCTGAGACCCAGAGCTTTGTATCTGGTCAGTGCTCTGATTTCTCCAAAGGTCTCCTCAGGACTCAGATTCCACTCACCACTCACTCTACCCCCTTCTTCTACACTACATACTGCTTAACACTCAGAATAGAAGAATAGACATTCTGAGGCTTCCTTACAACCTGGTCTTTTATAGAAGTGGGCTTCAGAATGGAGTGCACATGAGACACTCAAATCTCCTAATCACTATAACTAGAAAACACTAGAACTGAGGACTAACTTTTTAAAAAAAGAAAAGGAACATTAAATTTAGCGCTCCTAAAATTTAGTAATCCATACCTAATATAAGGTATCCTTATTCTATCTAATAAAAGACAAATAGGGTAATTAACCGTACCTCCGATACGCTTCCCATTGGCTAATCAGGGTGATATGCAAATTAACTGCCAACCAAGATGGCGGCCGGCAGCCACGCAGCTTAAGCAAACAGGAGGCTTGCTTGCTCCAGTGATGGAGGAAGCCAAGGTTCCCCGCCTGCCGCGGCCCGGCTCTGTGCATGAAAGCAGCAGCTCTGAAAGCAACTATGTTTCAATTATAGAAGCTAAACAAACTCCAGATACCTGCTTTCAGCCAGCCGAGGTCTCAGAGCTGGAGCTGCAACAGTGTTTCAATTATAGAAGCCAAACAAACCCCAGATACCTGCTTTCAGCAACCGAGGCCTCAAGCTGGAGCCGGGCCTCAGAGCTGGAGCTGGCTCTCAGCTCCAGTGACAGCCATAAAAGGTAAATAAATCCGAGAATAAAAAAAAAAGAAAAGAAAAAAAGGAGAGGTTGGGAGCTTCAGTCGCTCACCAGCCTGAAAACGGCCCTCGGCCCCTCACCCAGACTGGACAGGCACCCCAGTGGGGACCCCCACCCTGAAGGGGTTGCAACCAGATGCAGCCATCAGCCCCTCATCCAGGCTGGCCAGGCACCCCAGTGGGACCCCCACCCTGATCCGGGACACCCTTCAGGGCAAACCAGCCAGCCCCACCCCGTGCACCAAGCCTCTATCCTATATAGTAAAAGGGTAATATGCAAACTGACCCTAACAACAGAAAGACTGGGAATCACTGGTCACTATGACACACACTGACCACCAGGGGGCAGACACTCAATGCAGGAGCTGCCCTCTGGTGGTCAGGGCGCTCTCACATGGGAGGAGCTCTGCTCAGCCACAAGCCAGGCTGATGGCTGCCAGTGCAGCGGTGGTGGTGGTGGGAGCCTCTCCTGCCTCCTCAGCAGCGCTAAGGATGTCAGACTGCAGCTTAGGTCTGCTCTCCACTGGCAAATGGACATCCCCTGAGGGCTGCCGGGCTGCCAGAGGGATGTCTGATTGACATCTTAGGCCCAATCCCCCGGGGAGCAGGCCTAAGCCAGCAAGTGGTCATCCACTGAGGGGTCCCAGACTGTGAGAGGGCACAGGCCGGGCTGAGGGGACCCCCACCCCCCAGTGCACAAATTTTTGTGCATCGGGCCTCTAGTCCTATATAATAAAAGGCTAATATGCAAATCGACCACATAGCAGAACAACCGGTCACTATGATGTGCACTGACCACCAGGGAGCGGACACTCAACGCAGGGGCTGCCCACTGGTGGTCAGTGCACTCCCACAGGGGGAGTGCCGCTCAGCCAGAATCTGGGCTCACGGCTGGCGAGCACAGCGGCAGTGGTGGGAGCCTCTCCCACCTCCACGCAACACTAAGGATGTAAAACTGCAAGAATTTCATGCACCGGGCCTCTATTACCTAATATAAGAACAGATGTACAGGGTGGGGAAAGTAGGTTTACAGTGGTTCATATGGAAAATAATTAATAAATAATTACACAACAATAAACTGTTTCATGTATTTACAACTGTAAACCTACTTTTTCCCACCCCTGCATACAATTTATTCATAAATAAAAGTAAAAAGGATACAAATGTTGAAGTCACAGATTCAAATTCTTACTAATGGAGGCATGATTCAAACGTAACATTGAGCCCGACCAGCATGGTTCAGAGGTTGAGTGTCGACCTATGAACCAGGAGGTCACGGTTCATTTCCCAGTCAGGGCACGTGCCCAGGTTGCAGGCTTGATCCCCAGTATGGGGTGTGCAGGAGACATGATCAATGATTCTCTCTCATAATTGATGTTTCTTTCTCTCTCTCTTTCTCCCTCTTTCCCTCTCCCTCTCCCTTCCTCTCTGAAATCAATAAAAATATACTTTTTAAAAAAACACATAAGATTGAAGACAACTGCATTAGAGCCACAATTACATCGTTAATTTTGGTTAAATACCCCATAAGAACTCTAACAAACAGTATATTGTGTTTTTATTAACACTGAACACTTTACAAATAGGCCAAGCAAATTCCCACCTCTGTGCCACGTATTCTTAAGTTTTTCCTTCTGTCCATACATCCACTAACAGGCAACTCCTACCCTTCTTGGCAAATATCCATTCATCTTACCAAAAGTCTTTACAGAGCTGCACAGCGACAGGTAGATAGTAACCACTCTATAAATCTAAGCCTATGAGTTTGTAAGTCAAATTATAATACAGGCCTACTAGAAGGAAAAATTTAGGTACCTTTCTCTTGCTCTAAAACAACTACATTAAGAATAGGAGAGAACCAAGATGGCGGCATAGGTTAACGCCGGAGTTTGCTGCCTTGAACAACTACTTCAAAAGTGAAACCAAAAAACGGAAGGGACATCACCCAGAACCACAGGAACGCTGGCTGAGTGGAAGTCCTACAACTAGGAGGAAAGAGAAACGCATACGGACACTCAGAGGAGGCGCAGTGCTGAAGTCAAATTCTGAGGTGCGGAGTGCGCGAGCGGGCTGGCGGCGGAGGGTGCGGTTGGCGTTTTCAATCGGGAGGGAGTCGCAGAATCTGAGCTCCAGATCCGGGCGAGTCTTTAGGGCCCCAGACTCAAACGGGAGAAGCGGGACTGTCTGGCTTCGGTCAGAGCGAGTGTAGCTTTCTCTCCGAGCTTTGCAGCGGGTGCTGGGACTCAGAGAGGCAGAGCCCCTGGGGACAGGACTGAGAGCCGCCATAACTGCTCTCTCCAGCCCACCCTGTTGATCCTGTGCGCCCCGCCCTCCCCAAGCCCTGCACACAGGCATTTGCCGGATAGCCTCAGGCAAAGGCTAGATTAGCACCTCCCTAGAGGACAGAAGTTCTCTCACTGCTGACACAGCTGATTCTCATAGCCACTTGGCCTGGAGGTCAAACCCTCCCTGGAATTAGCTACAACAATCAAGATTTAACTATAAGACTGCGAACAAAGACCACTAGGGGGTGCACCAAGGAAGCATAACAAAATGCGGAGACAAAGAAACAGGACAAAATTGTCAATGGAAGATATAGAGTTCAGAACCACACTTTTAAGGTCTCTCAAGAACTGTTTAGAAGCCGCCGATAAACTTAATGAGATCTACAAGAAAACTAATGAGACCCTCGATCTTATATTGGGGAACCAACTAGAAATTAAGCATACACGGACTGAAATAACAAATATTATACAGACTCCCGACAGCAGACCAGAGGAGCGCAAGAATCAAGTCAATGATTTGAAATGCGAGGAAGCAAAAAACACCCAACCGGAAAAGCAAAATGAAAAAAGAATCCAAAAATGCGAGGATAGTGTAAGGAGCCTCTGGGACAGCTTCAAGCGTACCAACATCAGAATTATAGGGGTGCCAGAAGATGAGAGAGAGCAAGATATTGAAAACCTATTTGAAGAAATAATGACAGAAAACTTCCCCCACCTGGTGAAAGAAATGGACTTACAGGTCCAAGAAGCGCGGAGAACCCCAAACAAAAGGAATCCAAAGAGGACCACACCAAGACACATCATAATTAAAATGCCAAGAGCAAAAGATAAAGAGAGAATCTTAAAAACAGCAAGAGAAAGAAACTCAGTTACCTACAAGGGAATACCCATACGACTGTCAGCTGATTTCTCAACAGAAACTTTGCAGGCCAGAAGGGAGTGGCAAGAAATATTCAAAGTGATGAATACCAAGAACCTACAACCAAGATTACTTTATCCAGCAAAGCTATCATTCAGAATGGAAGGTCAGATAAAGAGCTTCACAGATAAGGAAAAGCTAAAGGAGTTCATCACCACCAAACCAGGATTATATGAAATGCTGAAAGGTATCCTTTAAGAAGAGGAAGAGGAAGAGGAAGAAAAAGGTAAAGATACAAATTATGAACAACAAATATGCATCTATCAACAAGTGAATCTAAGAATCAAGTGAATAAATAATCTGATGAGCAGAATGAACTGATGATTATAATAGAATCAGGGACATAGAAAGGGAATGGACTGACTATTCCTGGGGGGGAAAGGGGTGTGGGAGATGCGGGAAGAGACTGGACAAAAATCGTGCACCTATGGATGAGGACAGTGGGTGGGGAGTGAGGGCAGAGGGTGGGGCGGGAACTGGGAGGAGGGGAGTTATGGGGGGAAAAAAAAGAGGAACAAATGTAATAATCTGAACAATAAAGATTTAATTAAAAAAAAAAAGAATAAAACTATCCTATTCATTATTATATCCCCCTCTACATCTTTTGGAAAAACCCTCACGCAGATGAATTTTGATCAGAAGGAATACAGTATATATACAGTGCACGCTAAAACCGATTTTCTCCTAAATCTACACTTAAATCTTCCCCCCAAAAGTATTCTGCACAAAAGGACAAGGTGAATGTGTGTTTATTTGGAACCCTATAACCCTAGATACCCAACAACTACTTGAACAACATTGTCCCTCTGTTCTCATATGACGCACTAAACCAGTGACTGGCTTGGAGAATCTCCTGTTTTTACACACACAACTGGGAACGTAGAAATTACTCTGATATCCTACCAAAAGTATATCAAAATGAATACTTGGAAGAAAGAGAACTAAATAAGTATTTACTTGCCTCCACTGAATTCTCTCTTGGCTATGCCTTGATAAGTCACCATGTAGGAAGTGTCCTTGTG